CTAGACTCCATTAAATAACTTAAATGCGTGATCTAAAACTCATTATGAAGGTAGGTGCTTTAAAGGTTCTAATAAATCTATATGAGCCAGCCTGATCTAAGAGATAAGTGTGGTGTAAAATGAAACAAGAAATTCGGACGAAACCATGCCTCCATTATGTAAAAAAGGATCTAACGACCTAGATATAACTTTGTAAAATGAGCTAGCATAAATATAGACAATTCCACACAATATAAATACAAGACTTAAGAAAAAATTTTTCATCGAACCCCTAATTTACTTTGTAACCATGCCTGGCAAGGTTGCTATCCGTAAATAAGACTTGACACTGTTTTCGCAATCAAAATTAATAACACCAAAATATTTAATTTAAAAAATTTTATTAAATAGATATTTTTATTGAAGAAAATTGTCCAAGTTTATTTGTTAGACTCGTCATAATTTCTGTCGTCTTCTTTTAGTTTACCCGTCTGCTCGTTCGTCCCTCCTTTTTCATCTGCTCTTCATCCTATTCTAAGCATCAATGGTTGGTGCCCAGAACTTTCATTATTTAGATTTTTTATTTTTTATGATAATAACTACACCATTCTTATTTTCATGTTTCCTCAAAACTGCTTTGTTCATGTTTTTACACAACTTATTGGCTCAATTTTATTGAAACTTTTTTTTAATAATAATGTCCTCCATATGATTTAACTATTATTCTCAGGTCTAACGGCCTTTCTTTCATTAATGCCCATGCGTCTTGTAATTTAATCGCTTTCAGAAGAATATAGCTGGTCAAAGTGGTCGAAATGATGTAAGTCTTTTTAGGTGTAGATTGTTTGTTATCATTTGTGTTCTCCTTGAGTACTCGCATGTCGGAGCATTTTCATTGCTGTTTTCATCGCAGCTTATGTGTGTAATGCTTTCACTGGCTGTATTCATATATACCACACATCACTTGTTTAACATTAATGCTGTCTGCATATACTAGCTGCTTGTGGATCTGTCACCTGAAACCTGATGACCTGTTCAATCCTCAGTCGTCTTTTTCTTATATATACCTTTATAATTGTCTCTATTTAAATGATATACACTTCTTGTATTTTCATGTTTTATATTTGAAAATTTATTTTTAGCCCCTACACATTCGTGCCGATGTTGATAGTCTCAGATCAATTTTCACCAAGGTTTGTTCGGTTCAGAAATTCCTTTGAAATTTCTATTGTACTTACCCTTATTTACGTTTTTATGTTATAGTATGCAAGTGTCAAGAAGGGAAATGATTATTACATGAATTCTGTCGACTTTGGTGTGAAATACCTTGGCTTATTCGATCCTGAAAACTACAATGAAGCTTCTGTCAATCTGATAGCTGGTGCTGTCGATACTACAAAAGATGGGTATGCAAATTGGTCGGATAGTTGCTTAGGTTTGAAAATGTCTCATTTTTGAAGCATAAATCTCTATAAAATTCCATTGCTGGTTCTTTTTAGATATTTCTATTTGCAATTATATAAAGCTAAAACGTTTCATAGTCTTTTAATGATAACTTCATCCTCTTTAAATAGGTATGGATTGCTACTCATTCGTTAACTAGTGTCTAAAAACACACCTAAACTCAAAATAAATAGCAATATTTTTTCGTTACTCAACATTTTTGTGTAGTAAGTCTAATATCATTTAATATCAATAAAATCACCCTCGAAGATGCGTACTTTAGGTCAACACAAATAAATAAGTCCCTATTCTTCAACAAGCCAGAAATTATCTTATTTGTTGTTATCTCAAATAACCTCTTCCTTATACTTTTAAGTAATTCTTATTGCTTAGGCTTATTTCGTTTGAAGAATTCATGGCGTTTGAAGCTCTACTCTGCACTCCTGACGCTATGTATGCAACGGCCTTCCAAATATTCGACAAAACTGGGACGGGCTTTGTTAGTTTTAGTGAGTCATAATTCTTATAATTTCTATTTCTACTCCTCATCTTTATAGCATTTCATTTAAAATGATTATTTTCTAACACAAGCTTAATTATAACATTTTTTAATGAAATACATTTAGATAGTTTATTAGCAGATCTAATCAAAACGAATTCGCTTTATGTATTGTGAATATGTAAGCTCACAAGTCTCATAAGGGTTCAGTCATAGATTGTAGGGGTTACGATTGTGCTAATACGTGATTTCCTCAAATATAATCTTAACTAACTGTACCACGAAGACGATACATTAACTAAAGAAACTAACTAGGCAATGCTTATATTATTACCAGTTAAAGGACGTCCCAAGAAGCCTTTAGACAGGAGTGACCTCAGATTTGTGTTTAACAAAGGCCGCTACACCTCTATTGAATTGTTGGGCAAGAATTTATTATCTGTAACGCAAAAAAATCACACCGAGAATTTCCTTTATATATTTCTTTTTAAGCTTGAATTTTAGTGTTGGTCTCGGATGATCTAGGCTTTTGCGATTTATTTTTGTTTCGGATTTCACAGGTCAGGCTACAGAATTTTGTGCCACGCATCAGCCAAAATTTTTTTAACAAGCTTTTTACAGAATATATCAACCAATGTTTTTTTAAACTGATTTAAATCTCATTCTAGTGTGCCCTTGCATATATGTTTAGTGTTGGGACATGTAATACAAACAAGTTTGATTGT